TCGGACAGGGCAAGATATGACAAAATAATAATTTATAAATGATCAAGGGCTCATGAGCGATTGGGGAGCAGGGAGGGAGGGGGAAAATGAGAACTTGATGCCAGGGGCTTAAGTGGAGAGCAAATGTTTTGAGAATGATGAGGACAATGAATGTACAAATGCGCTTTACACAATTGATGTATGTGTGGATTGTGATAAGAGTTGTATGAGCCCCTAATAAAACAATTTTTTTTTAAAAAGTTGTACGGTCGCCACCACCATCATTGTAGAGCATTTCCTTTTTTCTGGTGCTCATCGTCATTATCTCCCCACTCCCCACCACTCCTAACCTTCCCTGCCAGGACCCTAAGAAACTGGGAATCCAGTTACTGATTTACCTCTCTTGGATTTCCTAGAAAGAAAAAACATCCCAGAAAAACCAACCAGCCCAAGAACAGAAACAAAACAAAACAGAGGGGAAAGCTCAATCGAAAAGAAAGCACAAAATAAAAATGAGAACATATAAAATGGGTCAAAAGGGAGAACAGATGATCCACCGTTAAATTATAACCAACACCCTCTGTCCCAGGGCGAGGCTGCTCACTCACCCCCCCCTGGTCAGTGGCAGGTTCCTGCTTCGTAGTTGGGGGCTGAGCTGTTTTTCTCCCCAGGGACTCTGGTAGAAAGGTGTACAGGGGTCAGAGCAAGGAACTTATTGACTGGTGCGATTTGCACGAAAGAGTGGTGTCTTCTGAAGAGGGTTCAGTGATGGCATTGTTCCTGGTGTAGTGATGGCTGAGGTTGGGTTTCCTTGTTTACCATGTAGAGAAAGAAGAGAGATGCGGCACTGAGCTTAAAGCTCCAGGGGGAGGAAAACTCACTGCCATCTAGTCAGTGCCAACTCCTAGCAGCCTTCTAGGGGGCACTGCCGCTGTGAGTGTCTGAGGCCGGAGCTCTTTAACGGATGGGAGTAGACAGCCTCCTCTTTCTCCTGAGGAGCGGCTGGAGGGGTTGCAATGCTTACCCTCTAGTGAGTGGCCCAAACGGGCACCTACCCCACCAGGGCTCCTTAACACTCAAGTCTCCCCGGTGAGCAATTTCAGACAGCCGTTTCTGTTGAGCAATGCCTAAATAGCTTCCCTAGCTGGAGTCTCTTACGTTTTACGTGTGCAATTTCTTGTTTTTAAATAGATGTACATAAAACTCTCACACTTCTGCTTTTTCCTCTCCCATGAAGAGAAATCTGACAGAGGTGTATTTGATGACTGTTAGGACAGCCATTTCCCTACGGAATCTTTGTAACGTGTCTGAAATGCACCATTGATGGCCTGGCACCAGCGGATAGCCTGGAGCCTGGCACAAGCTGCCTCTGCCTCATACACCTCCACAGCCATGACCCCAACCACCATTGAGTCCACCCTGACTCACGGTCACCCCTCAAGGTTTCCAACAGCTCAAGGGGCCTCAGGTGCACTTGAATCCCCGACCTTTTAGTTAACGACTTGCTAATTACGAGAGACATGGTTCACAGAAACTGAGCAACTCTTCCTCTGAGTACTGAGACCCTGGTCACTAGAACTGTTTCAAGAGAAATGAAACGATTGTCTAACAGAGTTAGTTAGGACAGAAGATGCATTGGCATAGATAGTCTCTAAGGTTGACTCTATTTCTTATCTGTGAATGTTCCTCTTGGCTATGTGGACTAATGATATGCCCTTGGTTTTCACAGTACCCGACCATGTATAGCACGGACCCCGAAAACGGGCACCTCTTCAATTGCATCCAGCGAGCCCATCAGAACACGTGAGTGCTGACCTTGGGGGGCACCAAGGACACCTGCAGCCTGGTGTCTTCTGAGCACTGAGCATGTGCTTCCTCTCTGTCAGCGACAGCAATGCTGGCAGTAGCTCTCCAAGCCTTTCTTCCTCTGGCTAGACTCAAACTCCCAGGCTTTAGATTAGCAGCCATATTGTATTAACTGTTCGTACTCCCAAAATCTGTATCTCAAAACCAAGCTTGCGGCCAGCAGATTGCTTTGAGACTCATCACAACCCTGCAGGACAGGAGTAGAACTGCCCCCAGAAAGTTTCCAGGCGTAATCGTTAGGGAAGCAGATCGCTACAGATTTCTCACATGGTTTGAGCCACTGAGCACTTAACCACGGTGCCACCAGGGCTCCTGTGGGCTCTGCAGAGGCATTTTTACGCTTGTTCGCGTTTCCCCTGTGAGCTGAGTGAAGGTTTGCAGAGATCACCAGTCGTCCGTCCGCCACCTGTGCACGGTCTGTTGCATCTCACTGATGCAGTGTCCGTGATACACCGCCACGTAGCCCACTGCCTCCGTCCCGCCTCCTCTCCTGACCCTTCTGAGCTTTTTCCTTGGGGAAATGCTCCCTTGGGGTACCAACTGGTTGACTGGCTAAGGTGGAAACCTCTTAGAGGCCTCTCTCTCTCGTTTGTTTCCACGCTCTCTCTCTCTCTCTGAAGCCAGTAAGAATAGTTTTGTTTTGTTTTTAATTATGTTGAGTTTTGTCCCACAGTTTTTTCTCCCACTCTATCCAGACCCTTCCATGATGATTCCTTTTAGAGCAGTTGGTAGCGGTAAGCAGGCACTCGTCAGTTCCTCTGGCCTCCTGCTTGCGGAGAGACTGATGTTTGTGTGGCCCATCAGTCCACTGGACAATTGTTTCCACGTGCATTTTATTTTCTTCACTCTTGTTGCCTCCAGACAGAGACCAATAACTGCACCTTAGCTGTTGCCCAGGTGCTACTCACCAAAGTAGGGTGTTGAATGCAGTCTTTTTGTGAACTGTCATGTCCGTTGACCTTGGTGTCCCCCAAGGTCACCTTCTCTCGGGGTGTTTGTAGCAAAGAAGTTTTCGTGGCTCGCGGGGCATATTTCAAGTGTTTCGCTCCCTCTCTTCCAGGTTGGAAGTGTACCCTCCCTTCTTGTTTTTCCTAGCCGTTGGAGGCGTCTACCACCCGGTAAGCTTGCCCTTGTGTCCCTTCAACAAGGGGGCTGCAGAAAGTTCATGAGAAATGGAATGGAAGGAACAGAGGGTTGTCACTTACTGTTTGAAGCGCCCTCATACTTGATGAGTTCATTGAGCTACCCTCAGCGAAGGAGGAAAGGAACGGACATCTCTAATGTCCAGGGACAGTGTTCCACAGGATTCCATCCGGATACTTTTACAGAGTTCTCGGATGAAGGTAGAATGTCCCCCACTTTCATAGGTAAGGAGAAGGCTGTATCTTTCACAAGGTCAAATAGCTTTAAGAATCCTGTCGGGGACCCTCAAGAGGGTTCCGCCTCATAGCAACCCGGTGCACAACAGCATGAGACGCCCCTGCTCGGGCGCCACCCTCACAAGGGTTGTGAGTGAGCCCGCCTGGCGGTGCAGCCACTGTGTCTGTCCATCTTGCAGAGGCTCTTCCTCGTGGTCACTGCCCCTCCACTTTACCAAGCATGGCGTCCGTTTCCAGGGACTTTAAGGGCCGAGGAATCTGCACTTGGACTCAGGCCATCTGATCCTTCCCAAAGTTATGTCTGTCTGAAAGATTTCCTTCACGCTAGTCGCGCGTGAAACAAATGTTGGCTGACCACTTAGGCTGACAGCACAGAGAGACTTGGTTTCCTGGAGTTTCACCTTTTAGTTAGGGGACACCGGCAGAAATCCGCGTAAGCAAACCACAGGCAAGCCTGGTTTCATCACACTTGGCTTGGCTGTACTTCACAGAAATGAGAAGGAGTCGGGAAGTATTGCTACTTGGGTTCCAGGTCATGCATGCACAGGTTTATCCACCCAGCCCATTTAAACGGGACCCTGTGATCGGCTGTAGGCAAGCTCTCTCAGTGACACACTGTCCCCGTCTTGTGAGGGTGCCTTCAAAAACACGGGATCGATCACAAGAGGCTTCTGAGAGGATCCGCTGGGCCAGTTAAGTTCACGGCACAGAGGGCAGCTCAGAAGGTGGGAGCAACTTTTTGAGGGGGACTTCAAAGGGGGGGTATTCTTGTGAGGTTTTCTCAGAGGACACCATTCTCTGAAGTAGGCTAAGGAAAATTGGAAACAGTGAGAAATGGGCCAGAAAAACCCGCACCAAGAGTGTTCACATCACAGCAGGTTCCCTGCTCTGGCTTTGAAGGTAGCCAAGAGTATCCTGCAAGGCTTCACTGGGAAACTGTGCCCCAGCCACCCTTCAACCCGGAGCTTGCCCCTTCAGACTTCTCATTGTCCCCAAACTCTGGTCTCCTTCTCCTCGGGTGCCCTTGCCGGCCCCAGGGCAGCCTCTTATGCTGCAGTGCTTTGCGTTCACCAGGACCAGGCAGAGTACTGAAAGCCTCCCCCCGCCACCCCCAACCTCGGCTCCCATGCCTACAAGTAGCTGGTAGACGACAGCTCTTTGTGCTTCCTGACTACAACAAAGACCTTCAGCTGGTAATATTTTACTGTATCCATGAAATGGTCAGCCTAAACATTGTGTCAGTGAACCCACGGTGTTAATACGGGTGTGCTGTTTCTTTAAGGTAAATGCTAACGCAGCCTTTTTATTTTAGCGTATCGTTTCTGGCTTGGGCTTGGCTTGGATTGTTGGACGTGTTCTCTATGCCTATGGCTATTACACAGGAGGTAAGGACCTACGGACATCTGCTAAGGAAGCACATTTAAAATCCAATGCTACTGTATTTTTTCTTTTTAGCAGGACTTTAAGGAAGGTGGGAAATAAAGTATCATGTTGTGTTCTTTGTTAACCTTGGAGTAGAACAATGCTTATTTTCAGTGAGCATTGTCTATGTGGCAATTGTAATTCCAAAAACTTTGCATGTGCTGTTTACTGCTAGGATTCTGTGATGGATGATATGATCCCCTTTTATAAATGAGGAAACAAGTTTAGGAAAATTAGGGTCAAGGTTACTAATTCATTAAGTATAAACCAAATTCAAACCCAGGTGATCTGACTCGGAATTCTTGCTCCTACCTTCTCCGGTGGGGGTTAGTGGGGGGTGGTGGGGGCTGGCTGGTTGGTGATGGGTGGTTGGTTGGCGGGGGAGGGGGGGGGCAGGGTGTGTTGGAGTGGACGGAGGGCGAGTCTGCATGTTGAGTGGAACAGCTCCACGGGCTTCTCTCGGCCAGGCCTGTCCTTGGAGGAGCCTCTGGGTGGGTTTAGACGTCTAGTAGCCAAAACCTAACAGCACCTCCCATCGACCTGACCATTACCAAAGACCCAAGCCTACTGCTGTCTAGTCTTTCCTGACATAGGGAGCCTCCAGACAAAGCATTGCTGCTCCATGGGCTTTCCCAGGGTGTGAATCTTTACGGAAGTGGTCGGCCACATCTTTCTCCCACAGAGCAGCTGGTGGGTTTGAACCACCAATCTTTGAAGTTCGCAGCCCAACACTTAACCCCAAATTATGACACCAGTGCTCGTGTGTACCAGAGGAAAGCATGAAAACGATGTAGATTGTTGATTGAAGAAGAGACACGCCCTTCTAAAGAGCCCAGAACAGAGGACCTCTGGTAGCATCCCCTAGTTTCTGAGGTCCGGCAGCAGGACGGTGACAGATTATTTGGAGGCATGGAGTCCGTGACAGGCAGGCAGCTTTAGATTAGAGAGGGTCAGCCTCTTAAAGCTGGGCATCAAGCATCCATCCCTCGGGTGCCTTCAGAGAATGGCTGCTGGGTGTGGATACGTCTCACTGTGGACATGCTCAGTAACTTCGTCTGCTCTCTCTCCAGAGCCCAGCAAGCGGAATCGCGGCGCCCTGGGCTCCATCGCCCTCATCGGCTTGATGGGCACGACGGTGTGCTCCGCTTTCCAGCATCTCGGTTGGGTGAAAACTGGCTTGGGTGCTGGGTCCAAATGCTGCCATTGAAGTATACGGGTTTAAAAATTCACATTCGTTTTGAATGACTTACCTTAATTTCCAGTTACTTTTTTTTTTTCTAAATATAATAAAACCTAAATGGCTTTAGCCTCATACCTAAACCTTCCGACTTCCTTTTTCCTTTTTGGGGGGTGAGTCTCTATCTTTCAAAGAGTGGCGTGTTCTCATTAGATGGGCGAGAGCCAGCCAGTGCCACCAAGTCTCTTCAGACGCCTGGCAACCCCACAGGAAGAGCAGCACTGCCCTGGGGGTTCCGCGACGTTTAACCTGTACAGGTGCAAATGGCCTCAACTCGCTCCCATGGAGCGGCTGGTAGGTTTGCACTGCTGAACTTGAGGGTCACTGCTCCATGGGAGACCCACTGTAAGTAAACTTTAGATGACACTTCAGGATGAATGTCTGGATACAAGGGCCGCAGTGCAGAGCCACACGTGGGGGAGGTGTGGTTCGCAATAAAGACGTGGGAGGCAGCCACGTGAAGAGCCTATGAATCACATGAACGGCAGCCCCAGAAAACTGAAAACACAAAGGGGGCCATAAATTGTACCAACAGAAAAAGCCTGTGTGTCTTTAATGCTCCCAACACCTGACTGTCATGACCCCATTTCTGCCTTACAAATCCTGTTAGACCAGAGCATGTACACGGGTACAGAGGAGAGCTGGAAACACAGGGAATCCAGGACAGATAAATCCCTCAAGACCAATAATAAGAATAGCAATACTAGGAAGGAAGTGGGGGTGGGGAGAGAAAGGGGAACCCTCTCACAATGACCTACATATAACCCCCTTCCAGGGAGACGGACAAAAGAACAGTGGATGAAAGGAGACTGGTCAGTGTAAGATATGAAAAAAATAATTTATAAATTATCAAGGGTTCATGAAGGAAGGGGGTGGTGGGGAACGAGCTGATACCGAGGGCTCAAATAGAAGGAAAATGTTGTGAGAATGATGGTAATGTATGTACAAATGTGCTTAACAATGGGTGTATGTATGGATTGTGATAAGAGCTGTCTGTATGAACTCCCAGTAAAAGGATAGAAAAGGCCTGTGTGGTCCAGGACCAAGGCCATGAAAAGCCAAGTAGCTATTAAAGTTCTAGTTAATGAAATATTTTAAATTCATTCACCCAATAACCACATTTGAAGTGCTTAGCTAGGCTAGGAGGGTTAGAGATAGGATTTGAACTCAAATCCAACTCTAAAAGCCTGGATTTTTCTCTTGTACCACCTAACCACTTAAGGGAAATGAGGCATTTACAGACAACAGACACTAATGCACAGGGGCAGCCATGGCCAGATGACCACGGGGGTCTCAGGAGTCTGATGAGATCAGTGTCCACACCAGTGTGCGGCCGGGAACGATCTACCCTCCTGCAGAGCCAAGTGTGAAAAATGAGGATTTTTCATAAAGCTCTGACTACCTTTTTATATTAAAATGCCCTTTTACAAAGTAAAGTGATGATGGTCAATGGTTGTTCTGGAGGGTTTGGGTCCTGTTTTGAGAAAAACAAAACGTACAACTGGCCTAGGCTTTTTCTGTGTTGTATATTGTTTGGGAGGGATGGCCTGGGAGGTGGCGGGCATATAGGAAATGGCCTGCAGAGGCGGTTCGGGTTTCCCTTCGCACCTGTGCAGACGGTCGGTCGTCACCACCCTGAAGCGGCTCCGGCAGGACTTGGAGCCAACACTGGTTTTACACCTTTGAAGTCCACCGGGTCCCCCCTTTTCATTGTTTAATTAGATTGGGGGCACAGACTTCATATTCCATGCAACTTAACTGTTCAGTCATATTAAGATTTGTGTACTCATCACAATCAATTTCAGAACATTTTCTTCTCATACTCTTGGTTAGCTTCCCATTTCTCCCATCCTCCCCTGCCAGGCCCCTAGGCAGTTATCAATCTGGTTATTGTCTATAAATCTACTTATTCTGGATTTCAGACAGAAAAATCATACACATTACAGGAAGCAAGCAAACAAAACCCCCAGCAGTAATGACTAAACAAAAGAGAAAACCTCAAAACAAAAATGAGAAACGGAAACCACTTTAAAATGAGTCCGAAAGGGCGATCAAATGATAAGATAGTATACTTTAACCACACTACATTTGCTTTAATCAACTTCAATGCTTTGTCTGATAGCAGGGCTATTCATATCCCTGGACTGTGTTCAGAGGGGATTCACCAGAGGCTTAATCCACGTGTGGACCCTGCAGGTGGATTTTGGGCTCCCACTGTCATCCCTGGCCACCTGCAAAATGGGTGCTCGGACACCATTCCCTCCTTCAGGTTTTGTTATTTACAAACGTTGCATCACACAGGCTGGTGTGCTTCTTTCACGGGGACTTGAGGACTCACTTAGATGGCTGCTTGTTTTAAGACAAACCTTTAATCCCACTCGATGCTCGTCCTTCTGATGGGCACCATCTAGTTTCTTCACCACGCTTTGCTGCAGACCCATATCTTCATGAAGGTGAGCATCAAGCAGGACCAGCCGGGTCATAAAAACTAATTGTTCTTAGAATTAAATACTGGCCCCAAGTCCATTCATTTATCTGTGGTTTATATATGTCTCTGGTTCACTTTTAACACAGCATTATTTTATGATACAGAACATTATAAATCATCCCCCTGGGGCATGTTAATTCCATTGGTAGTGTCATTAATTTAGCCAATGTTAGAGAATTTAAAACATTGTTGAAAAAAGGAAACTGCACAAGTATAGGACAATTATGTACATGTACGTATGTACAAACATCATAAACTTTCTTAAAATTTTATTGGGTGCTCTTATAGCACAACTTTCTATAGTTCAACCACATCAAGCAGCATTGTACAATTGCTACCATAATTTCAAAACATTTTTTTTTCTTGATACCAGCTCTCTTTGTCCCCCCCACTACCCCACCATACCTCCTAGGAACACTTGTTTTTTTTTCCATATCTTACACAATCCAATATATCCATTAACATACAATTCTGTTATCCAATATCACTGAGTGGAGTTACACACTCCTAATTGACTGGACACTACACAAACAATGGGGGTTGGTGATAAGGTAAAACATTCATAAAAGCAAATTAATGACCAGTCTTCTTTTCAAAGTAGTCCTTATTTCTCTGTCATTTTACTATTAGAGAATGGGCTCAAATGAAGTCCTATACAAAAGGTTCTATGGCTGCAGTGGGGGCCCGTGTTCTGCCCTTTCAATTTCAGGTCCCCCCCCCCAACTTACTGTACCTCCAGGGATTGATCCCTCGAGCTTAGCAGAATGCAATTAAGACGCTGCTATAGAGAAGTCATCTCACTGCCATTGATTCTGACTCTGTGTCCCTATAGGACAGGGTAGAGCTGACCCTGTGGATCTCTAGGACTGTAACTCTACCAAAGTAGATAACCCTAGCTTTCTCCTGAAGAATGGCTGGTGGTTTCAAACTGCTGACCTTGTAGTTAGCAGCCAACACATAACCACCACAGCACCAAGGCTCCTTAGGCAAGTCAAGGTTTCTGTTCAATGTTCTTGTTAAGTGGAGAAAATGTTGGCCTAAGTACAGCCACCATTAACTGCTAGTTCATGGGCAGTGTGCATTTCAGAGTCAGCTGGTGTCCATAGGGAAATCTATTCTAAAGGTTGTGAGCGTTAGGAATCAGAAACTCAAACCTGGTTTATAAAGCCTAGTTTTGCCTAAAGGGTCCCCACCTGCAGGTAGCTGTGTGCCCATGGGCAAGTTTACTCATCTTCTTACACCTCTTGGCCAAGCAGTACACTGGGGTAATGATGATGCTCACCCCATCAAATTATTGAGGATCAAGGAGGACAATGCATGTGCAGTGTCCAGCATGGTGCTTCCCATGACTAGCCAAGGCCAGGCTCAGGTTCCAGCAAAAGGTTTGGGCGGAAGCACTGGAGCCACCTGCTGGTGTGACTTCAGCACTGCTTCACAAATCAACCAGGTTCCTGTGCTCTAAGCAACCCTGTGCTCTAAGCAACCCCGGAGCTGGCCCTGCTGCCCCTTTCATCCGACTCTGTTAGACCTGGTTGACTAAAGAAACAAATCCAGAGACACTCATATATGTCTAAGAGATAACTTTATATCCAGAAGTGATTATGCATCAACAAAACATCCCAGCCCAGGCTAGATCAAGTCCATTAAGTCCAATATTAGCCCATATGTCCAATGGTAGCCCATAAATTCCTCTTCAGACTCATGCAGCAAATGCAATGATGCTAAGGGCAGGAAGATCACAGGCCGATGGGTGGAAAGTCCTGTGGGTCCAGTGGTGGTGGAACCATCTCCACAGCGTGGCTCCATGTGGTTCGTCAACAGGAAGGTGAAGCAGACAGAGTGTGTCCCACCTCCACGGAGGAAGAGACAAAGTCCCAGAACCCTCATGAGAAGGCCACACCCACAAGGAGGGATCACCAGTCTGTGACCTGATTGACAGGCTAGACTCCACCCCTTCATTCTTATTCATCAAGTTGACATGAAATTGTGTAACTACCACACTAAACAATAGGTCGTTACTTTATATGGGGTCGCTAACAGCTTGGGTTTGTGGAAAATTTGGCAACAGTAAAAGTTTGCTGAATACACAACAAGCAGAAATTAATTCAAAATCAAACACTTGATGAATCCGAGGTGTTTCTGGCAGGGCTTACCCATTGCAAATTAAAAAGGGATAACGAGTGGGAAAAGTTTCAGCAACCCTGAATAGCGCTCTCGGCCACCCACGGTACAAATGTTTTCTACCTGCCCGGGCCAATACCCAATACCGCGCCACTCCCATGTGTCGCTAAAGCCACTCCAAGCTACACTTTCACATTTAAATTGCCACCCTCTGCTGTCTACAAGGGAGCTTCACAAAGCTCATGGGGAAATGCCGTTGTCTTTCATTCCCTTTTCCATGCACTTTGGAATCCCCATCCAATAGTTGGACAGCACAGCTCTGAAGCAGGGGGTCTCCCCCTTGGCTGTCCGTTAAATCCACATGGGGAACACTGAAGGCGCCCAAAGACAAGTTGATACTACAGATGAATGACACTAAAATCTCACTCATGTGCCTCCCCAGCATTGCCCATCGAGACCCTACAGCAATGGGGGGAGCACCTGGGGATCGACCTAGTGAAGTGTTGATTCTGCCAGAGATGCTCACATGCCTGTGCTGTTGGTCCCTGGACCACCCTTTGCCCTGCTGATCATTCACTCAAACACCCGAGCACGTACCGTGAGCCTGGGCACACACCAGTCACGCTCTGCAGCGTTCACATGCTACTTGAGGAGCAGGCTTGCAAGAAACTAAGAAAGCAGGGTCGTGGGGTAAGAGGTGTGTGACTACTTCAGCTTTGTCTTGCTGCCCTCGTGTCAGTCCCCACCCTTGGTGGCCTGACCCAGGTGTGCAGCCTAGAGCTCCGTTCCTCAGGGTTTTCAAGGCTGGGACCTTGAGGAAACAGATGGCTGGGCCTGTCTCCAAGGTGCCTCTGGCTGGGTCTGAACTGCCAACCTTTCAGTTTGTGGTCAAGCGAGTAACCATCTGTGCCACTGAGGAACTATACTTCAGCTTTAAAACGGAAAAAGCAGCCACCCCCCCAGCCCACTGCCATTCGGTCGATCCTTGCTCACAGTACAAAGTCAAACTGCTGCTGAGAGTGTTAGGTCATTACCTTTACACAAGCGGACAGCCTCATCGTTCTCCCTTGGAGAAAGCTAATGGATTTAAGCCACTGTCCTAACCCACTTATACAACCTGGAGCTTAATCCAGTGTACCACCAAGAATTCTTGAAGGCTTGGGAGGTGAAGATCTGGGGTAAGCATGCTCCACAGTGAGTGCCAGGTTCTCTGAGAAAAGGAACACGCTTGCAGAGTAACACACCGGGGGAGTAGCATCAGATGCAATCACAGGACCCGGATGGTAAACGATGGAGCTTAGATGTCATTCTACGGGGCAGTCTGCCATCTACAGTGGACGCAGAACAACCCTACACAGGGTTTCCGAGACACAGATTGTTACAGGAGTAGACAGTCTCATCTTCCATCAACCAAGGAGCTAATGGGTTGGAACCTGGACCTGGAGGCCTGGCAGTACCGTGCTCACAGGCAGCACCAGCCCGGCTCCACAGTATTTATATTTAAAAGATTACACACTGCTATTTTTTTCCTCCAAAACTTTCTAAAATGTTGAATGCTCACATTGGTCAAATCACTGAGTAGAAATGATGGCACCAAACTGATGTAGAACAGGAAGTTATAATTCCTGACATAGAATGTTTGATGGTTTCATTTTTAATGAATAAAAAATATACCAAACACTGCCATCAAGTCAGCTCTGACTTTCAGCGGCCCTACAGGACAGGGTAGAACTGCCCGTGTGGCTTTTTTCGAGACTGTCAATGTACGGGAGTCGAAAGCGCCATCTTTCTCCCGAATACAACATACGTCCACGGTAATAACAATGCACACACGACTCAAGATGCAAGTATGATGGGAAGGTCAACAAGCCATCACCGCTAATAGGTCCCACTACTGTCAGCCAGGCACAGCAGTTGTGTGCATCTGACAGACAAGCTCTTTAGGAAATTAAGCTGTCAGCTGTAAATAAAGACTACAGAGCGATGTCAAAGCATTAGAGCGCTTAAAAAATAACCTGTGACATTCCTGATAAGCCACTTCCCACCGACTCACAAATCCTTCTGTGAAAAAAGCAAAGTGTGTCACACTGCGGCATGCAGTAATTACATTCTACCTTCTTGACCATAAGCCAGTCAGTCCTCAGCGCCTCTCCTGGAGCTGGACAAGCTCACGGAGATTGCTCCAGAAGGTCAAGTTGTCAGCATTTCAGCACTCCTTCATGTAGCAGAGGACAAAGCTCACAGAACCAAACACAAGAGCTTCCATCTCTAAGTCAGTACTCAAAGCACGGGAAATCCCGCGCACCGCGCACGTCTCCCTCGCCGCAAGTCCACAGCTGCCTGGGAGCTGCACCACTACCCGCTCATCTGGCTGAGGCCAAGGGAGCTGGGGCTCAGGGCTGAATTTGTGAGTTTTCATGGCATTAGGGAGAAACTTTAACTAGCTGCTGGCAGCTGCCAGCTTCCCCTTTACCAGCTCTGTGACCTTTCCTCCTTCAAACCCCAAAAAGACAAAGGTGGATGTTCAAGAAAAACTGAGGATTCGTTTTTTTGCTGGGGGGTAAAACCAAACTCACAGACTTACACATTTCAGAGAACCTAGGGTGGAAAGATGGGTGGAAAACAGGCTTCCTCATTTCTGAAGTCTTTGCTGGATAGCATCAGTACACATTAGCTTTCACCAAAGAGCCTTAGCGGCGCTGTGGGTTCTGGAAAGAAAAGTGAGGTTGTGCCCTCCAAATAGATTCTAAAGCTTGAGAACCCTAAAGAGCAGTTCTCTTGTCTCATAGCGTTGCTGTGAATCAACATCAACTCAAGGGCAGTGGGCAGTGGAAGCGACTGCAGCTACAGAAATGAGAGGATCCCTGAATCTCTCCTGCTTTTCCTATCAAGCTCCCCGCCCTCACGCCTCTGAAATCCCTGGTCTCAGTTTGGCCTGCCTCCACATTCTGCCAGAGCTTTCCCTCAGCAGGACAGGAAAAAGGCAGTGGCAGAGAATGGGCCAGGTAAGCTCCTTTTGTATTGAAAGACCTGCCTATGTTTAGGGACTGCTTCCATCTGGGGGTCCCTGAAAATGCAAGCCAGAGATCAAGACTAAGCTTTTGCAAAGGAGTGCACCAAAATGAGACTGCACCGGTTTCTTCTGTCTAGCCATTAAAAAAAAAAACCTACCAGTACTTTGCCTCAACAATCTAGTCAGTCGGGCATCTTGGAATGCACATAAAAGGATGAATCGGATCCTGAAGTCAGGCAAGGAGAGCAGAAAGGGTGCCCTGGTGGCCTAGTGGTTACAGCACTTGGCTGCTAACCAAACCATTGGTGGTTCAAACCCACCAGCTTCTCTGCAGTAGAAACAGGAGGCAGGCTGCTGCCATAAAGATTTGCAGCCTTGAAACCCCATGGGCAGTTCAGCTCTGGTCCCGAGTCACAGAGAGTCTCAGCTGAGTAGACAGCAGTGGGTTTTGGTGACAGGCCACTGGGCACTGTCATTACCATCCCATTTCTGGAATCAGGCTTTATTCATTCCCAAGAAGCCCTGAGTGCTGGCTGAGAAGTGGCCTCCTCGGGATCCAGGTAACTTCCAGAAACCCTAGGATACGCACACCAAGATGACAGTAGTTACCTCTGGGAGGCAAGGCTACATGGGGACGGGGAGAAGCGGGTACTTCTTAGTTCTCAATTTTCAAAAGCAAATCAAAATAGAAAAAAAAAGGTCCCTGGAGAATTTAGTTAAATGATCTAATTTTTCCAAATGGGAAGGACTGGCCAGTGATTAAGTCAGCGTTTCCCAATGTGTTTTGTAGGTATGCTTAGTAACAAAAGAAGATCCGCTCATCAGGCACATTTGTGAAACACAGCAGTTACTGACATCCTGGAACAGACGTTGGGCCGGGCCAAGTTCGGTTCCAGCGTCAAGGAAGACAGGAGAAGAGCACAGGCTTGGGTCTGAAGTCTGTTCAACAACGTAGGTGACTTGAAAACTAAGACTTCTCCAAGGGTCCATTTCTCCACCCGACAAGCAGAAATCAGCACACCTTGGCTGTGAGTCCTAAACGAGAAGGCGGCAGCAGAGGGACAGGGAGCACCCAGTGTTGGCTCCCTCCACCCACTCTCTTTCAAGCAGCTACCTGAAACCTATCTGCTGCCAGGCACCTTCTGTTCACGTTGCCCCAGGATGCCCACCTGCCTTCTGCTGGCCTTGCTTGGTATCACACACGGGCCTTCAGTGCAAAGAGACACGAGGAAAGGCCGAACACCTAGCCGGCTACAATGCGTCCTTACACACAGGCACCAGCAGCAACCCTCCCCGAGTTCCGCTATCGGGCGAGAGGGCCATCACAAGTTTGTGGGAAAAGGGAATGAAAAGACACTGGAATCTCTCCCCGAGCTTTCTCCAGCCCCCTCGTCTATCAATAAACCACTCTCCCGACAGGCAGAGGCGGGAGGGGGCAGGTCAGCGCATGCATCGCTACTGCAGTCTGAGCAGCCAGTGACTGGAGCTCAAGGACAGTCACCGTGGAGCTGGGCTGGAGTCCACGGAGTCCAACTGCTGACGTGGCCAGAAATGTGGCTCGTTACCGCAATCGACACCCGCCCTTTTGTCCTTGCTGCCATGAAACGCCCCTCCTTCCGCCTGTGCTTTCAGGGTCAGCCCGCTCTCTCTCCTCCGGGAACCTTTACGATGTGAGCCGTGTTCTCCTCCTGCTGTCTGCTTACTGGCCACCCTGGATCCCCAAAGACAACCAATCATCTGTTAAAAAGGGTCGGACTGAAAGGATGAATGGTGTGGTTTATTTTCATTTCAGTGTATGACATCCGCATATAAAGACATTAGACACATATAAAGAAAGGCACCCTGTGGCCAGGAGAGCAAGCTGGAGGTGGAGAGCTGGCGGGAGACGTCCTCCGTCCCGGCAGAGGGGAAGCCCAGAGCTGACCGCGTGCGGCCAGCGGACATTCACGCTGGCTGGGGCCCATCTGTCACCAAGCCTCCACTCTGCCCCTACGGCCGGCTTCCTCAGTGGACAGTCCGTGGGCTGGTACCCCCCTCCGGAGCCCACCAGCTTACAAAGGAGCCAGAGGATTCACATCGGTGCTGGGTCACAGCCGAGGAAGACGTACAACCTCGTCCTTCCCTGTTCTCCAGGAGGAGGTTGCTGGCTCTCATAGATTTTAGGGGTGAAGAGAATCACTACTCTCTTGATTAATATCTAGAAGGCCCTCAGGCACCTCTCAGTCAGAAGAGGAGTGCGCGGGGAAGAGCAGCCGGAAGCGTCCTCGAATCACCCTGCATGCTCCGCTGCCCCGCCCGCCCGTCAGCGCACACGGCCACAGACAGGCTTCAGAAGGCAGACTCCACGTCGCCCATCTCCACACACACCGTCTTCAGCTGCGAATAATATTCCATTGTCACCCGACCATTTTCTCTGCCAAATCCTGCGGAAGAGAGAGGGCGGGTGGGAGCCATCACTGTGACAGTTGGAAAGTCACCATTATCTTCAAGGACAGGCAGGGGCTCATCTGGGCTGGGGAAGCAGAGAGCCTACAAACACGGGGACAATGTCTGCAATTCACAGACGAACAGTGAGCTGGGCTGGAGTAGAGCAACCCAGTGGCCTGGGGGACAGTGCAGCGGTCTCAGCACGTGTCAACCTGGGAAATGTTCAGACTTAGCTAGCACGGCTACGTGACGTGAGAGCAGTCTACAACAATCAGCCCAGCACCGTTAGAAGTTGGTGTTCACTTAAAACTTAACTCTCAGGTTAGGTATAAGATCAGCCTACTGTTTCCACTCCACCCACACTCGTGGGTGAGTCCCCGTGACTACTCAGAGCCCAAGAGGCTTTCCAATCACCAGTGGGTGAGGAAACCCCCTGCTTGCCCTTGCCTGTGCCCTCAGCCTGCGACTCAGGTAGCTTCCCCCAAGCATCCAGCTCCAGAGGTAGCGAGATGTCCACCTCCACTCAAAGGGTAAGACACACAATGGTCCTGCAAGGACGTGCTCTGTCTGCTGCCCTGCAGGGGGTCTGGTTGTCTGTCTCTCTTGGACCCCTGTGGGCAGGCATGCCTGGGCACGCTGCTTCAAAGACTCCGGTTTGGGGAAGATGAAGCTGGCCTGGCAGGTCCCACTAAGGCCTCTTGTCTCAGCTGCTCATTCTAAATCCACGTTTCCCCGCACCAAGGCTTAAATATAAATAAAGTGGCATCCTGGCTGCCACAATACATTTGCCTGTGTGTACGGCACCTCTGAGCGCCCGACAGGATGAGGGTGGCTAGTGTGGTTTGATTAGGCATGAAGAGATAACACCAAACACACCCTGTCCTGTGAACAGCCTCAATCTCACCAGTACCCAGCAGGGTTTACATGTGTGTCAACACTTTGGTGGGCATAAATATCTGCCAAAGAGCCTACCAGATGAGACTCCTAGAACAGAGCCTCTGAAAGTCTCAACCAGTTTTCAGCCTCAATAGAGAAAGCCGTGGGGACGGATGTGTACCACAGGCCACACACCAAAACCAGAGCCTTGAAGGAATAACGGTACTTCTGGTGTCTCAAGCCTGCTCCTGCCACACGCACACACACATGTGCCATGTCACAGAAGCATGTGTCTCACATGCACACATGTGCCATGTCACAGAAGCACATGTCTCGCTGCCTACCCAGGAAAATCTCCCGACACCCCATTCAGTGGAAGGATGATGACTACTGTAATTGCCTGGAACTGTTAGACGAAGGGATTTTTCATTAACTCAGCATCATAGAGAAAACAAATGCATAAAAGCTCACTGAGGTCACTTTAGAGACATTTGCCCCAATCTGCGTCTAAAAAGCCCTCAGAGGATGCTGAGGAACCAGCCCCTGGACGACGGGTGAGCTCGGCCTCGAGGGAGAGTCGTTCTAGCACAAGAGGGGCCTGCTGAGCTGTGTCCCAGCAGTTTCCAAGCTGTCTAAGAGTCCTGGGACGGAAGGGCGGGGAGAGATGTCTGGCTTTCACTCCAGGAACTGATGCGTGGGTCTAGGGACAAACCAAGAACCGGTCTATTTCCTCGGCCCCTGTGAGGCAGACGGGTTTGGGATCACTAATCTTCCCAAACGGCATCGCGCCCAGTATCCCCAGAGGCCCGGTCGGCTCTCGCGTGTGCCAGATTCTCCGGATCCTCACCTGACTTCTTATATCCGCCAAAGGGCAGCTCCACCGGGCTGACGTTGTAGTTGTTGATGAAGCACATTCCAGCCTGGAGCTCGGCCACCACCCGGTGGGCCCGCTGGACGTCCCTGCGAAGGAAACAAAAGCATCGCTCGCTCGTTTCTTAGGCTACCACCCTCACGGGGAGCACCAGGCTGTTCCTTTCAAGGGTCCCCAAACCCAGCCCCACTCTCGTTCCTACAAAATCCATTTTAAAATCTTAATCGTCCTGGCAAATCAGACATGGGTTTGGGTTTGACGGTCTCTCCCAAAGGGCATCAGTCAAGGCAGTAGCGCAACACACACAGCAAAGGCGGCCCTGGAAGTGCACAGTCTCTCCAGCAAGCAGAGTCGGGGCACAGGCACAAGAAGGACGCTGGCCCCCACACAAAGAAGACCCCAAGCAGATCAGAGAGCTAACATGTACATGCTGAAATGACAAACCCCTCCAGAGAAAGCAGAGGAAGTCCTCAGGACCTTGGGTCAGGCAATGTTATCTTCGCCGTGACACCCAAAGCACGGTAGACACAGAAAAATCTATTTCATCCCCTAGACATGTAAATCAAAACCACAGTGAGCTCCCACTTCACTCCCAGTCCAACCCTGCGCCGCCCAATCCGTGCCACCTCGCGGCGAGCCCACAGGACGGAGTGGAATGCCCCTGTGGAGTGTGCAAAGCCGTAAATCTGTACGGACACATCATGTCCCATCTTCCCCCAAGGAGCTTCTGGTGAACTTCAATTGTCAAAGCCTTTCCGTTACGAGCTAAGCCCTTTACCGGGCCCCCTTCGCAGCCAGCAGGATGGCCGAATGAAACACAGCCACAACTCATGGTACGGATGTGGTATAGTGGCTGTGATGATATTCAACACCACTGAACTGTGCCTTGTAAATGGAAAAACTCAGAAATCCGTGAATTTCCCCAGTAACGCTGTTAAGAAATAAAAGTGCAGCAACTCTGAGTTTGTCTCATTTGTAAATGGACTGGGCACTAGGACGGCAAAGCTGAGCCAGCGCTGAAACTTAACTCACTCATGCCCCATCAAACACAGCTTCTCTGCCACGTATTTTGAGAAGACTGCCCAGCACTCATTTATTTAAAAAACTTTAATCAATCATTTCATTGGGAGTTCTTTCAGATATCTTAACATTCCATAATTCAATTACATCAAGCATAAGTGTTCAATTGCTACCACAATCAGTTTTAAAACAGTTTCTTTCTTCTTGAACTCTTTGATATCAGCTCCCCTTTAACCCCTCCCTGCCCCACCCTGTCCCCCAGGAACCCTTATTATTCTTATTACATATTATTATTGTTGTTGTTTTTTGCCATGTCATACCTTCTAACATATCTAATCACCTACACTGCTGTTTTATGCTCCCCTTGAGTGGGGTTATACAATCACCCCTTCTCCCCCCTTCCTGTATCCTCAGGGGACCATTATTCCCGTTACTGTTTCTGAAGGGTTATCTATCTTGGCTTTTATGCATCAAACAATCTTAATTGTACAAATGAATGTACACAGATCTAACAAGATTAATGAGGTAAAACAAAGACCATAATAGTAAGGTAGAGGAAATATTAAAGAACTAGAGGATAGTTATGTTTCATCGGTGCTATTCCACACCCTGGATTTATCATCCCTTCCAGGTGGCCCTGCTGAGAGAGACTGTCCAATTATCGTACAGCTGGGTTTGGGTCTCCACTCTGCCCATGCTCCTTCTCATCAATTCAGTTGCTTGTTTTTAAACTTCTGATACTTCATCCCATCGACACCTCATGATCACACAGGCTGGTGTGCTTCTTATATGTGGGCTTTGTTGCTTCCCTGCTAGATGGCCACTTGTTTAACTTCAAGCCTTTAAGACCCCAGACGCTATATCTCTTAATAGCCAAACTGCCCAGTATTTATCCGCTCCATATAGATCAGAGCATTAAATGCTTATGCAGTGAACCAATGAAATGGTTACAGTTTCCAGCAGCAAAGTTTAAAGCTCAGCTTAAAGTCAATACAGTAAGGTTCTCTGACCAACCAGGACCAACTTAACCTGAAGCACACCGTGGATGCTGGTTGCTGATATACCTTCTGTTGCCCTGGAGGAGCAGGGGGCTAAGCATAGGGCTGCTACCCATAGAGCCACTCCACGGGAGAAAGGTGAGGCTCTCTGCTCCCATAAAGATGTACCGTCTCAGAAACCCTAAGGCACATCCCACCCAATCCCTCTGGGTCGCCGAGTCGGAATCAACTCAATGGGGTGGGTTAAAATCCTAAGTGACAGGCTCAGACCCACTGGGAGTCTCAGCAGATACTGCAGTCCCACTCTCCAGAGCTGCTTGGCCGCCGGGGCCCACGTACCTGGTAAAGACGCCAGCTGCTAGTCCAAAAGGGGTATCGTTGGCTCTCTCCAGAACCTCAGCTTCGGTGTCAAACGATAAAACGGACATCACGGGCCCAAAGATCTCTTGTTTCACACAGGTCATGTCATCGCTGCAATTAGCTGTAAACATGAGGATTGAGACCAAACTTAGCCAACGACAGAATCGTCCCCGCACTTGAAAATGTGCCATCGGACTGTTCATGGTCAACAGGGGAAAGACACCCTGCTTTAAAAAACTCTGTATGACCTTGGCAGTTTGAGCCTAAATTGCAACATCCTTCTGCATGACAATTTAACAGTTTAGATTAGAGGGGTAGCCTTTGGTGCTAGAATTATAAATTTACTTTTTTAATCCATCATAAGGAAGTAGTTAACGAAGTGAAAAAAGAACTACAATATTCATCACAACACTATTTATAACAGTGAAAACTGGGAGCCACAAACCAAACATCCCAAGTAGAAGATGTGATCACATGAACTATATATATTTACACACACACAAAGTATAGATATCTCCTAATGATGAACTTTGATGAAGCTTCTAAACATAAAATTTTACAAGAGTATTTAATGAAGAAATGCTCATGATAAAATGATCTCTGAAAAAGATAGAAATTGTACAGAGCATCATCCTAATTTTCTTTGTAAATGCTTTATCTACATGTGGCCAATAATGTTCTCGCTGTGCTTTCTCACACTTGTTCCAAGTTCTGGTGATGACTGTGACGAGATTAGAAACAATTTCCTTAAAAAAAAGAATGAAAAGAAAATATAGCATGAGAACATAAACTTAGAATTAAGCGAGGGGCAGTGGGAGAAGAGAGGCTGTCTGGGACACTGAGAGGCCGTTCTACCCTGTCCCTGTCCTGCAGGCTCGCTGCAAGTCACATCGCCTCAAGGGCAGGGTGTATGCTTTACCTGGGGGAGGGGGAGTAATGTTTAAAGGTAGTTTATCACAGTCTAATTCTTTGAAAAGTAGTAGTCCGCATATAAGCTTTAGAGAAGTCATTGCTCACAACAGTTCATCAGTTAGTGCTTCCAGAGAGCAGTTGACTTCCTTCCCTGAGTTGCTAATGCAGCCTGAGTTTGTGTGCACCGAGTTCTACGCTGAAGAGTCAAAAGATACGTGGGGAGAAAGAGCAGCTGTCATGTAAGAAAAAGGTCCTGAGTGAACCATGACCCTCACAACGATGGTCGTAGTCACCCTTAGGCACTCCAGTCCCCTAAGCTTAAGTGAACAACTTAAAGGTCCTGACACTGGAGTCACCCTCGCCCCTATAAACTTGACTGTATACTATAAATGAACTTGGGGCTTAGTGACATGCACTACTGGTTAGGCCCCACTCCTAATGGTTCTGCTCAGGGCTCTGGAGAAGTCAATAGGAGCCTGCCTTTTTAAACATGGAAGACAGTGGACCTCCGAGTAGGCTTTGAGAATCACTGGGTTCAAGTTCGGTAGTGTGCTCCCTGTTGTTTGTCTAGGTCCATAGCTTTTTATAAAATAACCCTTTTTCCCCCTAGTTGTAAAATACATTGTTCTCTGAAGACAACTGTGATATTCAAAAATGTACAAATAATAAAAATGTTCTTTAATCTTAGCATCCAGAGAAATCGACTATCAACATTATAGTGTATGTTTCTTTTTGCTATGCATATTATTTTATTTTTAAGACTATGGGTAAAAATATGCATACTATTGTATAACTTATACATTACAAGTTAACAATTACAGTTAACAAACTTGCCTTGTGCGTTAAATATTCTCTGAATAACTGCAAGCTAGTCTATGAACTTTTAAACATGAGTGGGTCGTTTTTTTTTTGCACGGCTTAAAGATTAAACTGCACCAACTGTCAAGTATTTGAAAACTGGCATCACTTATCAGCTTCAGGGGCAAAGGCCAGTTTACTAATCTTCAAGATAAGGCATAAAGCATTATACAGCATAATTCAATCTATGTACAAAAGGCCTTCAAAAAGTTCATGGAGAAGTGGAATGAAAAGATAATGAGCCCTTCCAGGCAGGGACGACCTCCCCACGTGATCGTGCCTCTACAAGGGGTCTCCGTCCCCCTCTCCTGGAGAAGAAGAGAGGAGCCACAAGAAGTGCCTGGTGCAGAGCCCCAATTCCTACTGCACGGATGTCAAGCGCCCACCCAGGCTGCTATAAAATCACCCGTCTCCAGCCATGCACAAACAGTCGTCTTGTGTGCTAGCTGCTCCACGGTCCTCTGTCAGCCTAGAGGAGGGAAAGCAAGACTTGCAGAGGGATGCAGACGGCAGCAGTGCTGAAAAGACCCTGAATCGAGACGAGTGGGAGCCATCCCAAAAAGCCCATTCCGGATACAAAATAAATAAGTAACAATGATACTTTTTTCCCATCAACTTTTTCAAGTTCCTTTGTATCTGTTCATAAGTCTGCAAAATGAATTATTTCTATAGAATTACTAACATACATTGAAAAAATATAAAGAAAAGTAGGGCAAAGATTAAAATATTTGCATAATGGCTACTTATGAGGCAGGAGGGAAATGGATGGGCTTGATTAGAGTAGGATAGCAGTATAAAATTGTTCAAAGCAACAATTTTAAAATTGAAAGGAAGTGCTAAACGTGATAAACTTACATAACTTTTTAAAAAGTTAATTATATCATCTGGAAAATTGGTTGTGCCACTGCCATCCAGTCTATATAGGCTTTATGAAACTATAGCTCTATACAGAAGCAGACAGCCTCATCTTCCTCCCTGGGAGTGGTTTGAGGGTTTGAACCACCAACCTTGAGGTTAACAGGCTGTCCCATAGCACCACCAGGGTTCCTATTATTACGTGTAAGGACCTATAATCCAAATGAAATACAGTCTTCATCACCTTTCTTGAGAAAGCCTGTTATTCTTTAAAAAAAATACACTTCCAATTTTTCGAACTCCTAGCTTCCAGAGCAACAGGTGTACCCCATTACAGGGCCAGGCAAACTACCATGTGTGGTACAGGAGCGGTGCACAGAGGGCTTCAAGGTAAGAGAGCACGCCCGCTTCCCATCTGGGGTGCTGGGAACACAGTGTGGGGCACCTCATACATGCTTGTTAAGTATTCCTTTGTAGCCACTCAGTATTTAATTCACAACACTTGAAACCAAACAAGAGGGCTTACTTAATACACAAGGTCTCATGTAATAGCCATCCTTTAATTTGGGATCTTCAGGCACGTACAGGTCTCCACCACATAACACTTTCGCACCCTGTCAAAAAAAACAAAATATTGCACATTTTATATTAAACACAGAGTCCCAGCATCTATTCCTGAACACACACACACTTAGCCACTTCATGGCAAGAGCAGAGTATAACACTGCCCCGGGTACTGGTGGCAAATGGGTATCAATATTGATAAAGGAAAACAGTACTCTAAGCCTTCCCCACCTCTTGCTTCTCACCTGCTCCCTTGCCAGTTTAACAAACCCTAGGACGCGCTCCAGATGTGCTTGGTTGATGAGGGGACCCATCCTTGTGTCTTCCAGAAGAGGATCTCCAATTTTTATCTTTTGGGTCTGTTTCACCACTTCCTCTGTAAATTTACCAAGAATTTCCTTTTGTACAAATACTCTTGTGCCATTACAGCAAACCTAAAGGGCAGACAGAAGCTTATAAACATATAAAAGGAAAAAGGGAAAACTTTTTAAAAATCCCAAACCTCTAAATTTTGACACTACCCTTTTTTCAGAAATATTTCCATTCCTACAATCTGTCCCATACTAGAGAGGTCAACACCAGACAACAGGAGATAAAGCGCCCCATCACATAAACCAGGTCCTTTCAATGAAGGCGATTAACAAACGCCAGTGGACTGCCTCCCATTTCTCACGAGCGCTCCCTCTGGCTCGATATTGTAAGGATGGAGGAGAGTCGGGAGACAGAAAATGAAGCAGAAAGAGAAAGACTTGAACCAAATCCTTCACAGCGTATGTCTCTAAAATCACCAATAATGGCTATTTAGATTCTCCCAGAAGTGAGGATCTCACTTCAAATGTGTTCAAGCCGTGTCCAAGCAGCAGACAAGCAGAGAAAGCCCAGAAACAGGCCCAGGCATCCCCGGAAAATCAGTTTATAACAAAGGGGCCCTCAAGCACCTGGAGCAAAGATGAACTAAGTAAATGATTATAAGCTACATCACTCATCCCATACAGAAGAATAACTTCTCGGAACCTAAATATAAACTATGGAGCCACGCAGGTGAGCTCCTCTAGAAATTGCTCCACTTCACCTCACTCTTGGTGCCGGGAAGGTTTCCTAACTATTACTCAAAATCCAAATGCAGTGAAAGAAATGAAAAGTGAGTAAATTTGACTACATATTAAACAAAAATCTTTTGCATGGCAAAAAATCATCTTAAACAAAACTAAGACATACTTTACCAAATATGAGAAAAAAATTTTTAACTGGAGAGAAAGATCCAAAGTCCAATAGAAAAACACACAAAAATTATGAACAAACAATTCACATACAAACACGTTTCCTTAAACCTAGGACAGAGGTTCAGTCCATGCACAAGTGCAGGACTGCGTTGTTGAGTACGCGGAGAGGCTCTATCTGACTCCCAGGGAAAGGGCAGACCTGGGGCAGCGTGGTGGGTGGTGGGTTACTCGCTGGGCTATCCCCTTGCAGCACTACTGTCAGCGGTCTGGGCTGTCCCCTGCAGCACGCCCCTTCACCTCAGTAAGAAGAGTCACCAAAGCACAAGCAATGCCACACGGCATCCCGGCCTGGCTCCAGAGTGAGGGGAGATGTTGGCTGTTCTCTTTTGGCAAAAAGACATTTGCACAAGAGTCGTAAAAGGACATTTGAACCAACACGATAGATGAATCATAGTACTGATCAATGTTGATGTACTGATTTTACTAAGTGTGCTGTGCTAATGCAAGAAAGTAGACACTAAAAGAAATACATGCTGAAGTATTTAGTGGTTAGAGGCCTCCGCCTGCAACTGACCCTCAAGCAGTTCAGGAAGTAAAAATGCATGTGCATGTACAAATGAAGAGGATCTGCAGTGTGGTAAAATGTTCCCGTCCGGGGAATTTGGGTCACTGTGTCGGGATCCACTCGGTGGCAGTGAGTTGGGTTTGGGTTGGGTCAAAAGTAAGCAGGTCTTATTTATACTGTGTTGTGCAACCTTTCTGTAAGTCTGAAATTACTTTTAATAAAAACTTGTAGGGGGTCCAGGATCCTATGAAAACTACCCGAGACAGACACAGACCTCGCCCTGTGTGAGGAAGTTGGCCATCAACGCCCCCTTCACGGCATTCTCCATATCACAATCGGCGAAGATGATGAGCGGCGATTTGCCTCCCAGTTCCAAGGTGACAGGTGTGATGCCTTTTGCCGACATTTCCATGATCTTACGGAGCAAGGGCAGAGAACGCAGATTAAGTGAAATGCAAATCAGACGACTTGGTGGGTCAACCAGACTGGAAACCTACGGATTCCTCTGGAACTCTATGCAGCCTGCAGCCTATTCTGTCAAAAACCATGACCCGTCATCCAGTTAAAATACCCCTTTGGGAAAGCGGAAGACACCCACAGAGCTGCTCTCAACAGTCTGAAAATGGGAGTTCATTTACAAAATCCTGCCGATCCACATGACTATCAAAAGGAAACCATCTTTGCTATTACTGTCATTAAGTTTATGGCTAGCAGAGGTCAGAGTAGATACAAGAATGATTTTTTTATTTGTCCTCGTTTAATAGATTTCTCTATAACAAAATTTTCATAACACTATAGATACCCTTCTTAAACAGGTCTCTTTTTAGTCTTTTTATTGGTGGCTCATACAGCTCTTATCACAATACATACATACGTCCATTATGTCAAGCACATTTGTTGCCATCATTTTCAAAACATTGTCTTTCTACTTGAGCCCTTTGTATCAGCTCATTTTTTTCTCCTCCCTCCCACTTTTGTGAACCCTTGATAATTTATAAATTATTATTTCTTCATGTTTTACACTGACCATGTTCTCCTCCACCCACTTTTCTGTTGTCTGTCCCCCAGGAAGGGGTCATATGTAGATCATTGTGATCGGTTTCCCTCCTTCTCCCCCTACCTTCCCCTTACCCTCCTAGTATCGCTACTCTCATTATTGATCGAGGGGTCTGTCCTCGATTGCCTGTGTTTCCAGCTCTTACCTGTACTCGTGTACATGCTCTGGTCTAGCTGGATTTGTACGGTAGAACTGGGACATGATAGGGAGAGGGAGGAAACATTAAAGCACTAAAGGAAAGTTGTATGTTTCTTCAGTGCTATACTGCACACCCTGACTGGCTCATCTCTTCCTTGTGATCCTTGTGTAAGGGGATGTCCATTTGTCTACAGATGGACCTTGGGTCTTCACTCTGCACTCCCCCTCATTCACATTGATATGATTTTCTTGCTCTGAGTCTTTGATGCCTACTACATGATCCCATCGACCCCTCATGATCATACAGGCTGGAGTGCTTCTTCCCTGTGGACTTTGTTGCTTCTCAGCCAGATGGCCGCTTGCTTGTCTTCAAGCCTTTAAGACCCCAGACATTATAATTTTTGATAGCTGAGCACCATCAGCTTTCTTCACCACATTTGCTTATGCACCCATTTTGTCTTCAGCGATCATGTCAGGAAGGTAAGCATCATGGAATGCCAGGTTATTAGAACAAAGTGTTCTTGCATTGAGAAAGCACTTGAGTAGAGGTCCAATGTCCATCTGCTACCTTGATACTTAACATATAAACATATATACATAGATCTATTTCCCAATCGTTATATATAAATATATTTACATATGTACATGCCTGTATTTAGCCCTTTATAAATGCCCTTTGCCTCCTAGTTCTTTCCTCCATTTCCTTTTACTTTCCTTCAAGAATGAATCTTAAATAAACTAAGGAAATACCCTTTCTTAGGAGAGGGCTGCTGTATATTAGTGATGTCACCAAGCAAGACAGGCCCTCTCATAACATAAGCAGGAAAGGACAACTTCTACCTCACCCAACCCAACCCCACCCTCACTTGATGCAAATCTACTGTCCTAAACACCCCGATGTGCTCCCTCTGCACTGTTTCAACTTCAAACCTTTGCCCAATAACACCTCCTGCCTCCTTCCCAATGCAGGCTAGCAAAAACCCAAAGATACGCCTTCAAAATAGCCTGTGGATGGGGCTGTGTCCTATGCTGAGAGCCATTAGGCTCATCAATATTGGTTGGATCTTCACCTTTGCGCCAGTGGGAACGCTTCCAGTGAAGGACACTTTGGCCACATCAGGATGCTGGCACAGAAACTGGCCGGTGGCAGCGCCTCCTTGCACCACATTGAAGAGCCCTGGAGGCACGCCGGCTTCAGTGTAGATTTCAGCCAGCAGCAACGTGGACACGGGCGTGAAGGGAGATGGCTTGAAGACCATGGCGTTACCTGCATAAGCCCCAGACACAAACGAGAACAGACTTACCAAAAAAAGCCTTGTGATCATTTAAGGTCAGGACTAGAGGATGATTCAAGGAAGAGTCCATCTGTGCTCTGCTTCCTCAATGTTCCACCAGGAATCGTACCAATAGTTAAGCCCAGCTGGTTCTCATCTTGGTTTGTCTCAGCACACAGATCCTGCATACTGGCCCAGCGTCAAGCCCTGTACCTTCCACTCACACATGCATGATCTCATTTCACACTCAAACAGCACTGGGGACCAGGGCTGAGTAGTCTCCTTTTACAAAAGTTGAAAATGAAGACCAGATGGATTAATTGGATGATGGTCGCAAAGCTAATGCCTGAATTCTGACATTTCTACTCCATCACAGCTGTCACTCACATAGCAATCGCTAAAAAAAACACAAAGCAGCAATAGACAAAAACTGCATTTCAATAAAATAGTCTGATAAGGCCTTTTATCTTAACATTATAGTTTTTTCTAAGACCTGTCTTCTTATCTGTGGTAAAGTAAAATTACTTGGAATATCTTTTTTTTTTTCATACTTTTAGTGGGGGCTCTTACATCTCTTATCACAATCCATACATTCCTCCAATGTGTCAAGCACATTTGCACATACACCACCATCATCATTTTCAAAGCATTCTCTTCCCACTTGAGCCCCTGATATCAGCTCCCCATTTCTTCCCCCTCCCTGGCCTGCCCTCCCTCATGAGCCCTTGATAAGTTATAGATTATTTTTTCCATATTTTACATCACCCTCCATTGCCCCTCACCCACTTTTCCATTATTCATCCCCCTGGGAGGGGGTTCTAGATTGACCCTTCTGGTCGATTTCCCCTTTCTCCCCGCACCCTCCTCTAATCCTCCTGTTACCTCTACTCTCCTTGTTGGCCCTGAGGAGTATATCTATCCTGGATTCCCTGTGTTGCGGGCTCTTATCTGTAGCAGTGTGCCTGCTCTGGTCTAATCCAATTTGTAAGGTAGAATTGAGGACATGATAGTGGGGTGAAGGAAGCACCAAAGAGCTAGAGGAAAGTTGTGTGTTTCATTGGTGCTATACTGCACCTTGACTGGCTCATCTCTTCCCTATCACCCCTCTGTGAGGGGTTGTCCAATTGTCTACAGATGGGCACTGGGTCTCTAATCCATGACCACCACCCCCCATTCACCTTAGGAATGGTTTTATTCTGCGTTGTAGATGCCTGATAGCTGATCCCCTCATGATCACAAAGGCTGGTGTGGTTCTTCCATGTGGGCTTTGTTGCTTCTCAGCTAGATGGCTGCTTGTTTATCTTCAAGCCTTTAAATACCCCAGATTTTATATCTTTTGATAGCCGGGCACCATCAGCTTTCTTCACCACATTTGTTTATGCACCCATTTTGTCTTCAGCAATTGTGTTGGGAAGGTGAGCATCACAGAATGCCACATTGTTAGAACAAAGTGTTCTTGTGGTGAGGGAGGACATGAGTTGAGGCCCAATGTCCATCTGCAAAACCTTAATTCTTAACATATAGATATGAGTACATATTCCCCTATCATTATATATCTATTTACATACGTACATGTCTGTATTTAAGCCTCTAATAATGTCCTTTGTCTTGTGGTTCTTTCCTCTATTTCCTTTCACTTTCCTCTTGTCCCACCATCATGTTCGGCCTTCATTCGAGTTTAGTAAGTTCCCACTGCTACATTGACCTTGATTAAGCCCCACGAGGCATCCTACACCCTTCTCTCCATTGATTTCATTTCACTTGCTGTTCCCTTGTCCCTGGGTTGGTAGCCCCCACTTCCTTTCTCCCACCTCCCCTTCTTCCGTTTCCCCCCAGAACCATTGTTCCCATTTTTTTTTCATCTCCGAATGGTTCTTCCTGTCTATCTTATCTAGATAGACATGCAGATACATTAATAAGTGCAAAAACCAGGCGAAGCCAAATAAAACAACAAAGGGAATCAAAACCAACATAGTAACAACAGCAGAAAGCAAGAACAAAATAACAACAACAAAAAGAAAGCCACTGACACAAATGGAAAAGCCATAAGTAGTTCCAGGTCTGTTTGTTGGCAGGATATCTCTTCTATCCATGTCTTTTCAACTCCCACCCAATGGCTGTGTGGCATGAGCCATGCAAATAGGGAGTGTGAAACACTACTAGAAGGGATTTGTGGGTATAAGAAGGGCATTTCAGAAGCAGAAAGAGAAATTCCAGGACCACCAAAGAAGAATCACCACCAGCAGAGTCCATCTGAGACCTCTGCCTAAAGTGGCAGAGGCCAAGACCCGAGGGATCAGAAGTGTGGCACGAAGACCATGGGGCAGAGCCATGCAGAGAGAACAGAGGGGCTATGCCCCTATGCCCTGCGACTGAAGCAGTGAGGTGGAGTAGCAGGCAGGCACCGTGACCCACAGAGGCACAAGCCAAGGGACCACATGACTGAGAGGCCAGAAAGAGAGAAAGAGAGAGACTGACTGCTTGTCAAGAGACGTGGTGCTGTGGACTAGTAACTATCTCCTTACTGTTTACTGATCATGACTTGGGGCCACCTGTTAGCTTCCCTAATAAGCCCCCATCAGTGTGAGTACTGCCCGTGAGCTCTATGTGGCCATGGCCGATGAACCCTCCGAACCAGCAGAGAATGAATGGTTGGTGTCAGGATCGGTAAGAAGAAGGGAGTGTGGAGGCATGTCTGATCCCTGCCTCGTGGCAATAGGCCTTGGGCGGGTATGGAGATGTTTGGAAGAGGTCAAGTGTAGCCTCCGTGCCATTTTCACACTGTCCTACAGATTCCCTTTTTAATTCGTGTGAGAAAACTGCTGGCAGTCACTCAAGCCAAAGCGGCCCCGGTGGATGGATGGATGCCCTCTTGAGCATTCCTCTTACGATACAAACGAAGGAGCGGTTTCTTCTCTGCTTCCTAAATCCAGTCAAACTCCTGAGTGCTCTGTGTAATGTAGACATCCGTGGTCCAGGGAGAAATAGAACTTGGTAATAGACCAGATCCAATTCAATTGAAAGTAAAAGTAAGATGTCTAATGACAAAAGAAAAGTTTTTCTTTTCCAAATACAAGAATAGATTGATGCATAAAAAGGGGAACAGTGAAAAGAAAGAAAGAAAGAAAGAAAGAAAGAAAGAAAGAAAGAAAGAAAGAAAGAAAGAAAGAAAGAAAGAAAGAAAGAAAGAAAGAGGAACAGTACAGACATGATCTGGGTGTGTGACCTAAATGATAAGCTTCTTATGGGGCATGGCCACACAGGACTGGAACCAGGTCCTCGGAATCTGTGTATACCCTGAGCAGGTCCTGCCTGTTTTGGGGGGTGAGTGTACAGGTGAGGGCAGAGAATGGAGGGAGAACAGATGGCTGGAAGTTGAGGAATAAGTCTTTCTTACCACAAGCTAAAGCTGGAGCGGACTTCCAACTGGCAATCTGAAAAGGGTAGTTCCAGGCGCCTATGCCCACACATATCCCGAGAGGTTCTCTCCTGGTATAGCCAAAGGACCCTCCTGGGAGCTGGATGTGTTCACCTAAGGGGCAAGCAAGAGTGTAAAGAGTGCAGTCCTGTTCTCCCCAGTTTCCCCAACGCCTGTGCTTACCTTGCACTCCCGTTAGACCAGGCTCCTCTCTGGCCCGGTAGAGTGGGCCTGCTCGTTTCCATTCTGTTCATTCCAGCCATCTGTGCACCGGCCTCCCCACTGTCTCTTCACAGAGAAGCCTGCCTATCCCTCAAACCCATGCTCATCCAACTTAATTTGATTCTCTGAAGATGGATGGAAGCTATATTAGATGACTTAATAAATCAAAGAGACAAATTACCAAACTAATTTAAAAATAAACAGAAAATCAGAGTAGGCCTATAACAAATAAAGACTAAATAATAAAAACTTCTCACAAAGAAACCCCAGTGCCAGCAAGCTGCGTGGGTGAATTACACCACACATTTAACAAACCGTCACCAAGTCCTTCTCAAATACTTATTAAAATATATAAGAGGAGGGAATGTTTCCTAAGTAGTCCCTGATTTCCGCGAGGCTAGCATTACCTGACACCAAATCCAGACAAAGACAATGACAAGAAAACTGCACATCATTATCTCTAATGACTATTAGTGTAAACTAACACCCTTAGCCCAATACTAGCCAACCAGAGGCCTATTACAAGAACCATCATACACCATGACAAAGTGAGATTTATCCCCAGAAGGAAAGGTTGGGTTTAAAAACCTGAAAATCAATTAATGAAAACATGTTTGAAGTAGTTGGCTTACAAACTTTCATAGGTAGGGGAATATATTCATAGGATTATAGGATTAAGGTGTAGGTGTTTGTGTTAGACAGGGTTCTCTAGAGAGAGAAAACCAAATTACTGATAATTTAATATATTTATTTATAAAGATAATTAGATATATAACAAGAAATGAACTGTTAAATCATATACAGATA